GTCCCAAGAACCTTTGCTCAGCCCATTCCTTTTGCAAAACCCGGTCAATAGATTAATACAGGCAAGGCATTCCAAGTTTGTTCTACAGCACTATGAGCATAACCCCAGTGGGAATTTTCCACGGAAGCCATGAAGATGATTCATAAAAATGCTCAGCCTGGACAAGGAGATCCCATGCATATATTTCTTCATCTCAATGGGCTATGTAATTGTTCTGACCACAACCTTGATTGTGCTTGCTTAGAAGGATGATTTTGCACATATACCATGCTGAAAGTGACTGGATTGAAGCTTTATCCATATGAGAATCTAAGTGAAATGCTACCATTGCTTGGACAGGACAATGTTAAATGAAAACAACTAGGTCAAGGAGAGTTTCAGAAGCTGCATCTCAATATCATTTTTTAATCTGAGGCACTCTTATCACAGTCCTTTATAGCAATCTACAATCTAGGTGGGCAGAGCTATGCCCTCATAAAACACATAATAAGTATTGGGAAACCAGATACATATGTGGGGCTTTTGGGAGCTCCCAGGCATTCCTACCCCAAGATTCAATGTGCACTTGTCTTCCATGCCCACAGCATGACCCAGCTCCCAGCAATACCAGAACCGCTCCGCAACATATAGCGGTATCGGAGCGGTATTGGAGCGGTTTTTACACCGCTATATTGACCACTATACGTAGCGGTGGCTCCGCTCCGCCATCCCAAGGCGAGAAAACCATTAGCGGTCTGACCGCTCCGATATGGGAAGGGTCTGAGGGCACTTCAATATGCCTTTTAGCCCTTATAGCAGCGATATATAGCGGTATCGGAGCAGTAAAATACCTTCCGCTCCGATACCTTGTGATATTTTTTTAAAAAAAAATATCGGTCAAGTATCGGTGATCTCATAGCGGTTACTCCGCTCCGATACCAAAATGGGTTGAAATCCATAGCGTATCGGAGCGGTTCTGGTGTTGCTCCCAGTCACAGCAGTACTATAGACTTTGTAGGATGATGTACATGTGGTTATTGGGGGTATTGGATGTAAAAAGTCTTTGTGTTTCCTACAATCAAAATGAGAGAAAGTGATCCTTTGAACAAAGGTTTTGTGTATTCAGCGCAATAAATTCATATCTCCATAGGGACTCCTCAAGTCAAATTTAGTTGGGAGAAAAGATATATATGAGAGGAATACCCTGAATGGGGAGTCAAGCAATCCAAATATTTCACAAATGGATTTGGTAGGAATTTGAATAGTGAGAGCTTACATGGTGAGCACAAAAACAATAGAATCAAGGCAGAAGCAGAGATTCTTGAATATAAAAATAGAATGAAGGGAAAAATAAAAAAGATATTGAAGCTTCATCATACTATACCTGAATCCTAGCGGCTGAGTGAGATGAGTGCTATACTTTTCTTTTTGAGAAGATAGTGTACTTCCCCCTCTTCAAAAATTATCCAAGCACAGTGGGCAAAAATCTCGCTAAGGTGTGTCAAGTATGGTTTACTAGACATTTTGAGTTTCAAGTGGGCTTCAAGGTTGGGCTCGCCAAGACGATGAAATGGATTTGGTAGTCCTTCTGGCACAGGTGCAAAGTATTTTACTAAGAGCCACGTGTCAGTTACAGGGGCTTGGCCATCTTCTGCAAAGCGTTCATGAGTGAATATATTGGTGATATTCCCAAATAGTTTTTCTCCATTTGATCGAGAAACAACATGAACTACACTATTTTTGGGATTTTTCTTGTAAGTTTGGTAATGTACCTCATCGTGGTGGATTCCAGTCTTGAACCTTGCTTGAGAAGAGACTGGCAAGTATTTTTTCCTTTCTTCTGTGGCCATGTTGCACCACTCGCTGGAAGATTTCCATTTTTGATCATGAGCATGCATTGAATTCAATCGAGAGACCAACTGACGCAAAGTTTCGTTGTCCAAAGCTTCCGAGTTAAAAGGGTTATTTGGCTTAGGCGGAGAGTCTTGTGGATCAAATATATGTCTCAGCTGACTTGCATAGGGTCTCAAGCACTCAGGAAGCTTAGTCTCATCTCGTAGTAAAGCCGCAAGATTCCCCATACGACAAAAGCTCTTAACAAAGGTCACTTCCATTTCACCTGGAGAGAAACTATAGTTAGCTACAATGATTGAATAAATCATGAATGTGATTTTGACTTTGACTTACCAAGGTGGTTGTTATGTGCGGCTTTCAGGATTGATCCCATTAGACGCTCAAAAGGGTACGACCACCAAGCCCGCACAGGTCCAAAATTCTCAAGACAGTCTGCAAGATGGATTGCCATGTGATGATTAGGTACAAGTGCGCAGTGCGGAAAAAGCTTAAGGCATCCTTCAAGGTATATCTGTAGATGAGTCCGATATCTTGAAATACATTCAGATGTCATTGACCTCATGAGTGCTAGCTTTGTTAAGCACACTAAGTGAGAAAAATTATGAAGTAGAGCTGCATTTGACTGGCTCGAACCAGTCCATAAGACGGTCAAAATTAGGGGTAGCTGAATAGTTACTAGAGTTCGCCATTCGTCTGCTTTCAACTTTCCATGACCTTGGTCCCCAAGCTTTCGTATAGGTCTAGAGATCCAAGTAGGTACGTGTACTCTAGGTAAGAATTTATTTATTGATTGAACCATATTCAAATTAAACACCACTTTGTTTTTGGGTGTATGAGCATAGCTTCCATCCCAACCATAGTATTGATCATCTAGCGGGTCGAAGGAATCATCACCTGATGAGGTGTCTGCTCCTAACTGTGTGTTTACAAAAGGTATTCCACCTTCATCATCGGATTGATCGTGAGTTGAACGTCTTCTAATTCGTGTCTTAGAGCTTGCAACCAAATCCCGTATTTGAGCTGCTGTCATTGGCTTTAAAGGTGTGGTATTCAACACGTCTTCAGACATTGCCCAAAATCGTGTTACATGACGCGCAAGAAGACCTAAAATGATGTTGTGGATTGAGTCTATTACATGATAGTCCGTAACCCGCCAGTAGTCCAACTCTAGTATAACTGAATAGCGGACATCGTGTTCCTTGAAAATTTTTTGTCGTTCTTTAGATGTGGCTGCGTCGCGGGCAGCAGTTGCCCAGGTCCTATGCTCTTCTGAAGTTCGTGGTACCCATGTGCTCTGATCTATATTATTAATCTCTGATCTAGTTAGATAACACAAAGAGCAGAAAGCATTGGAACTGTGACCAGCCAAACCCAGAGCTCGACGACATGCTGGTAGATCGGCTATAAATGTTAGTAATCCCACTCGAACCAGTCGACCTTCTGGGTACAGAGGTGTTTTAGTTAAGAAAACTCCTTTATGCCAGAGCTCTTTCAGATCAGCTATAACAGGTCCTAAAATCCAGTTGAATCGTTCCAGTCCCGGCTCGTGAGGTCCAGGTGCTATCGCCGCGAGGTAAAGATTTTCGGGCAAAAATCGGGTGCTGTAGGGTAAGGTCAAGCATACCATGACAATAAATGTATCGGTTGCTTTATGCCCTTTGCTCTTATTGCCATAAGGGTTTATTCCATCCGTGAACATTGCAAATGACAAATTTCCTGTGTTTGATGTGAATTGGAGACCATCTGGTCCACGAAACGTCTTCCAAATTCTTGATTGATGAATATCACAGATAGGTTCGTCTCCATTGAAAGGTTTCCGTGATTCAGAAAGTGATTTGTCAAGTTCTTCTTCCATGTGTGGTCGAGATATGAGACGAGCAATCCATGTGATGAGATCCTGAACGGCATACTTTCGGATAGGGCGACCATTTGGTTGAAAGAGAGGGGCCAAACACGCATTGGAGCTGTTAAGGTTTTCGTTTGCTGATGGTTGTTTGGTTTGGAAGGTTGTTGTGTTCGTCTAGAAGTTCCAGAGTTCCTGGAACCTGATCGTGTAGATGACAACAGAGTGGAGAAGTGTATTCTAATGGATAAAGCGCAAAGCATTCAGGACAACAGGTGTAGTGCTCTAAGGAAGGGTCAATCTTCAACCATCGCATAACAGTATGAATTGATTTTGGAAGTCTTTGTAATGCAAGCTGAGTTGGGTATTGGATTGATTCAGAATTATCTTGAGGAGAGAATCCTGAGAAACAAAGTTCCATGTTGTTTTTTTGTGCTTGTAGAAGCCATGATGATTTGTTGAGAGAAGTATGGTCGAAGATAGCCATGCAAGCAGCTATTAGACAGGCATGGATCACTATGGGATTATCGCCCAGCAGTGTCTGCTCTATGAAATGACCTGTGGCGTATTTGAACAGAAATTGATTAGAAAGATGATGTGAGAAACAATATGCTGAAAAGAACTGGAATCAAAAGAAATGGTACTTGCTTGGATCAAATCTTGTAATATCCTCGTGTATCATGATGTTGATATCTGACTGAACTCCAGCCAGCGTATTGGATCGATCCTGGAAGAGCCTTCAGCAGGATCAGAGTTGAGGTCCGGTAGCAATATGTTGTCGTCTTCATTGGAAACATCGGAGTGATCGGAGCTGTTTGATTCCGTAAGGACATCATCAAGAGTCTTTATTATTTCTAGCCTTTGATCGTTTAACTGATGTGAAGCGTAAGTGTCGTATGATACTTGTAAGCCCAAGACTTGCTGACCGTTTACATAGTGTTTCTGCATGATGCAGGCAGAGCAGCGGCAGAGATATGTATGTGTGGTGCTGGTTGGAGGCATGTTGATAGATCAGCATATGTTGGAAAGGGTCGTCTGGGCACTTTCGAGGAAAGGTAAAAGTTTGTTTCAAGACTGGAGATTCGGGGGACTGGGCCCAGCTCCTGAGTGTAGACTGTATTTGGAAGAAGGCAGAAGAAACACGAAGAGAACGTTGGCTCTGATGTTACCCAAAACGAGAAAATGGAAGACTAACAGAGCATATTTTCTGCCGTATGGCATTGCAATTTCCAACAAACTGAGATTAATTACTAGACATAGATTTCGTAAGGAACAAATCACAACAATGAACATCAAATTGCAAAAGAGACAAAGAAGAAAAGAACTATTTCAGCGGCAAGAGTTTTTTGACTATCATCTCCTTAATATCTCGTAAGATCGACTTGTTGATGATTTTGATTTCAGCCTTTTCCACAGTGTCAAGTTGATCATAATACACTTGAGAGATGCAATCTTTGTGGATTTCATCTGGTGGAAGTAAATCACTGATTGGATTATTGTGACTACGAGTCCGTATTCTAGGCTGAACTCCAGGTGACAACTTGACATGATTGCTTTTTACTCGGGCTTCATCTATAGCTTGGAAAATGGTATCCAACTGAGAACTTCGCCATTGGATAATCCGAACCTTACAATGCTTCCGACCTTCTTCATCTTCATAGTCTGTCTCATCATCGCTGCAACAGCTTTGAACCACTGGGGCTAAAGCCCACAACGCTTTGTGAGACATGATATACGAGAGTCTACCTTCTCTCACCTAGATTAATCAGACATATCAATGGATAAGCAACGGATACGGATGAAAATTTCAGAAACAAAACACTAAAAAAGATTAAGACTGACACTGTTCACTCGACTCTGCTGGTTTCTCCTCTTATGTCTAGCCTCAAGTCGTTGTCGAGACCATTGTCGCTGCTCACGATAGCTACATGAATAGATGGGAGAGCTAGTCAGTACTGGAAAACACATGAGGATCTACACACAAACTTACTTCCGAAACCAAGTTCCTTTGATGTGACTGATCATTAATTTCAACACTTTCTCCGCATCAATGTCATCAGGAGAGACACCTGAGTATTCGCCTGATTGAACAAGTTTTATAAATATCACAGTGGCAATCTTGAAAAGAAAAATATTTCCAGGGCAGCCAAGGGATTCTGAATAATCGGGGCGGAAGGATCTGACTCCCACACTCTGCATTACATCCCACATAATGTGAAGCGCCCTAGGACTGGCTTTGTCCCCACCTGGACCATTCGGATAAGGAAAATAAGGATCCCCGGTTGGAGGAAAGCGGATCTGCTCAGCTTCTGGAAGATCTCGTGCTTTGTCAAGTAATTCTTGCATAGATATCGTTGCCATCCACTCCCTTTTCTCTGCCGGAGTTGCTCCATTGGGAACAACTTTGTCATCCTTCTTCAGGCCGTATAGTGTCCTAATAAGATTTTTGATCAAAGTCTATCAAAAGATGAGGTTAGAATATGTCAGATTTACGAGCACAAACATCCAATATCAAAAATAACCAACTCTTAACCTGGCAGCTCTTGGGGGACCAGATGGGCTTTCATTGGGTGTTGAATCTCCAAAAACTTCCGAGTTATTTGTTGAAGAAGTTGCAGGTGTCCTTCGATTGGGCCTCCTAGTTTCGCTCTGGTTGATAGCGGATTGTACCAGGTTGGTAAGTACGGAAAACTTCTCATCAAATTTGTGATTCCATGATTTTATTTCGTTTGAATTATCTGTTGTCAGTGAGCTTAGAAGAATAAGTGCCTTCCTTAGATCCCGGATATCATCCATCTCATTCTGATCAAAGTGGCCATTTGAATCTTGTTCTTTTGCACGAGGCTCTTCTCCGTCTAAACCTAAGTGACCATTTGTATGTACTGAATTAACTCCTTCCCCAAAAAGATCCCCGGCATCCCGTTCCTCCTCATTTCTATTCTCTGTCTCTTGATTCAAGGAAGAATGAGCGCTTTGTATCTTGCTCCTATTCTCAGCTTCAACTTCGTCATCTTCATTTGGACCGTCCTGATTTTTAGCGCGTCCTTTACCTTTCCATTTGAGTGATGAGAAAGGGAATGGCTGGCTGTCGTCCTCCTCGTCTGATTCTGGCAATTGATTAAATGAAGTAGTAGCTCTTGTATTAATAGGTGAAATTCGAAAGTTAGATGATTCATGTAGATCTGAGGTATCTTCACTCGATTCCTGATTCAAAGTCGTAGTTGCACAATTTTTCTCTGCATGTTCGGTCAATGAAATGTTGGACTCGGGCGAAGAGAGCTGAAACTTGGTGTTAGTCCGAGTCCTGGATTTTTTGCTGAGTTTCCTAGATGAGCTATCATGTAAAAGTATTTGAGGCTGAATCATCTCATCATTGGAGTCATCTTCCACGGTAGGGTAATAGGGGGGACTTTCTGGCTCATCATCACTATTGTGATTAGTGGATGCAGAGTTCAAGGATCTGGGAATAATCATTTTCCTCGGTTTCAGGGCTGGCAGTGAACGTGGTGGCTTAGTAGCACGCAATCCGAGCCGATTGGAGGGAGCATCAGAAACCTTTTTAGGTAAGCGATTCGAACTGTTACATCTAGTTTTTGAGGAAACCGAATCCAATGCTGTCTCCTCCTGATTTGACTTATGATCATTGCGCGTTTTCGTGAGCGAATAGATTTGGAAGATTTGATTTTTTCTGGAGCAACTGGCAAGGCTTCTTCCTCTAGAATTGTTGAAACAGAACCAGCAGTTGACGATTTCAACCGAGTCTGGCGAGGTCGAAGTCTTCTAGTTGATGTGTTTTCTTGAGTTTGATTGTCCTCCGGTAATTCTGAATCACAGGAAAGAGCTGAAAGTCTTCTAGAAGTCCGTCGTTTTCTGAGAGGTCCACTTGATGGATTTTGTTGCTCAGTTTCGGCCAAAGCAGGGATTTCGCTACTTGGGGCCGGAGTCTGGGAGACTGGATGATTTTGATGGTCCTCATTGGAATCTGTCCCAGAATTATTTGAAGTGGTTAGGTCAGTAACTTTGTCAAATTTAAAACAAATTTCCGCTTCAGAGAAAGTCTCACTGGGTGGTAATTTGAATGTAAACAGATGGGAAGCAGCTGAAAGAGTGAGGCCTTCTTCGTCCCGACTTTCCGCATCTTCAGCATCGTCAGGCTTTATGTATACCGTTCGGCTGTATCTTGTAGAGTGAATACTGGCTCGGTCCCTTTCATCGTATGGAGTGGATTCACTGCTTTGCTTCCTAGCCTTGGATGTTTCAAAGACATGACGCTTGTAAAGGTTGAAAAGATCCTTCTTGCTGATGTTGCCTTTGTTGAGTTTGAAACCAGCTGCCAATAGAGTAGCTTTCATGTGGTTAATTTCGGATTCCTCTTGATGGGCAAGGTGACTGGTAGGACCTAGGATTGGGCATATAAAAAGTTAGTCTTGGGTGATCCATTCAGGATGTGAAAGCACTTACCACTTGAGACCTCGGCAAATTCAGTGTTTTCAAGCTTGCGTTTTGATCCTACTGAGGTTGTTTTCCTCATTTTTTGATGAAAAGTATGGAATAGTGGATTTGGATTTGATATAAAAGGGGGAGACTTGTGAGACAACAAACAGGTATGCGAGCTAACAAAGATAGATAGGTATGCAATGTAATGAAGATAAATAGGTTGGATTTTAAGATGTTGACTTCACGCAGTGAAGTGGAACAGCTGTAAAATGGTGAATATTGAATAAGGAGATTGAATAGGGAAGATTAGAGATGTTTTTGAAGTGTTACTTGAAATACAAAAAGCAAATCTCACAGAGATGTTGTGTCTAGTCTCACGAGTGAAGGAGAATTCAAGACAAGCAAAGAGCAGGGACTTTAAGTTAAGTAGATGAGCAATCATATTGGAGTGTCTTTACCATCAAACGTTCAGACTTTGCTGAGAACCAGTTTAACTCAGACAAGTTGAGAGCTGTCAAACGCATTGCCTTATCAAAGACTGCTATGGATCCCCTTTAGGGTGTAGGATGAGCTTCAGGGAGCTCCACTGTCACATTGTTCTCCTGAACTTTGAACAAAGGGACATCCGAGGCGGGTTGATCATTATCCTTTCTCCAGGCTGAGCGAGGGATCCTTTCAGAAGCGAGTCGATTTGCCAAATGATGTAGAATGATTTGCTCATCAGATATATAGAACTGATTGAATGAAAAGTAGAATTACACCAGAGGTCGATAGCTGGATCCTCTGATAAACTGAATCAAGTGAAGAAATTGAGACGTTAAGCTAGGAAAAAGAGACAAGTGTGCTACAAGAAAGATAGGAACGTCAGTTGCTGATCATGAACTGACAAATCCCTGTACCAGGAACTCGACCCGAGTTGTTACATACATATCTGTTTATCGAGTAAAATACCTAAAATGTAACAGTACAGTGTTTCTTTACTATGATACACACTGGAAAAAAACAGTGAGCACATCAACTCCCCTGAAAAATTCGCTCAATCTCTTTTGAGACCAAATTCAAATTGAAAACAAGCCATATAGCAAGTTTGTTTGCTTGGAAAGCTCCATACTTGTTCATACTTTTTCATGGCTCTGAATGTTCAAAGGTTTTATTACGTTCAGAAATTCACATGATTAGACAGTGCTAGCAATTCAAACACTGTTTTCGTTTAATCTAAAGGTTCATATCACCTGAGCACTTAGGTAAGTACCTAATACCATTAGGTCATACAGTCGTACCTATCACCCAATGGTATTCGACTGCGCACTGCTAAGATGAAGTTGCCTCTTAAGGAGCATCTT